CACTGCTTGCCTCTTGCACCTACCATTTACTCTTCTCTGCATCACCCAAAGGTCAGACTGGTAGAAAATGCCTGCGGCATTAAGTCCACCTTTTTGTACATTTTGTGAATGAAGCATTTTAAATAAATAAATAAATAAATAACTTGGATCATGTTTCTATTTCTCCGCAGTAGGTAGTAGTGGAGTACCGACCCGCTCTGCCTCCCGGAGCCGGTCCAGTTTCCCCTGGTCGGCGTGCGCCTGTTTCTCGAGGCGCTCCCTGGCGGCGTGCTGCAGCGCGGCGCGGCGCTCTCTGTCGGCCGCCTCGCGGGCCGCCGCCGCCGCCGCCATCTTCTCCTCGCGCTTTCTACAGGATTATGAACGAATTTGTTGATAAAATAATAATGGGACTTATGCAGCAGCGGTGGTGAGTGATTAATGATGAAGCTGACATAGGCTTTTTTTACCATGACGACGGCAATAAAGCTAACGGCCCATCTGATAGTAAGTGGTTGACACTTAATGCCACTGTACAATGTAACATCCACTTTTCACTATTTATGTTATGTGTCTCATGTAATAGGGAGTGAGCCTATTGCTGTATACCAGGCACAATTTCAGACTCCATGCTACTACTGGGATTTTTTTTAAAGTCCATTAGTATTTTGTCTGACCCAGAAATTGAACCCCTTGTCCGGCAGACGCACTTACGACCACTCGGCCGTCTTTTTGACACTACTATCACTTTTATCTCCATTTCACTTGCAAATTAAAACACTATTCTAAGTCCGCCTCACCTCTTTTGTTGTTCCCTCTTAGCCTCTAGCATAGCTTCCTTCTTCTTTCTAGCGTCCTCCCTCTCCTTCTTGAGTTCCTCCGCCTCCCTCGCTCGGTTGATCCCGCTCAGTTTGGAAGTGGACGCGGGAATCAAAGACTTCGTTGATGTCACTATGTTCGCTCGCGGCTTTGTCGCTGAGCTTGATATCTATGAGAGAAACAGATATACATTAGAGAAAATGGAACTCCTAAATGAGATGGCCCTGATAAACTCCTTCTGGTTTATACATAACGTAACATCACGCCTTTTATCCCCAAAGGGGTAGGCAGAGGTGCACATTATGTCACTGTACAATATAACACCCACTTTTCAATATTTATGTTATGAGTCCCATTTAATAGGGGGTGAGCCTATTGCCGCATACCGGGCATAATTCCGGACTCCGTGCTACTATTGAGAATTTTTAAAAACCCAGTAATACTTAGCCCGACCCGGGAATCGAGCCCGAGACCGCTTGTCTGGCAGTCGCACTTGCGACCACTCGGCCAACGAGGCAGTCTACGCGGTTTATCTACATTCAAGAATACCTTCATGTATGCTTGGGAGTAACAGAATCAGTTGTCAGGAGTGATTTTGGTTGAGTAATAAGTATAGCAACTTTGTAGTTATTAAACCGTCTATTAATAGACTATTTACTGTTCTTGAGCACACTCGTAGTGTCAATGAACCATGAAGTACTGCCCTCCAAACAGTCGCTTTTAAAATATTAAAGATCAATGGCTGGACAAGAGACTACGCTTTTCTTTTGAGGGGGTAAATCATCCAATGACTTCTCCCGGCTTGGGTGAGGCGAACCACCTAGTTCCTACTTCTGCTTCGAGCCGGAGCCCCGGAAACCCGTTAAGTCCTCCGCGGCTCCTTATCGGGCATCAGTAGTACTGGGCCATATACGTGGTGGTATGATGGCTCTTCGAGGCGCGCGCGGAACGCGACGATTCTATTCTACAATTGCGATCTTAGTGTCTAACTTGTCGCGGAGAACCTAACGGGTTACCGGGGCTCTGGCTCGAAGTGCAGGAGAAGGAACGGGGTGGTTTTTAGTCAGTAAGAGTCTGACACTCCCTCCCGCCTCACCCAGGCGAGAGCAGTCATTCGATGATTTTCCCCCTTAAAAAAAAGTGCCCAACTTAGGGGCAGTTAGCCTCATAGTTGACTCAAGAGCTGGTTACAACAGGACAACATTCTGAAGTCATATAACTACACATGATGCATACCTGTGGCGGTTTCCCATTGAAGATCATATTGTTCATCTTGTTGAGTGTCTCCGCAGAGAGTACAGGTTTCACTATCTTGTCGGGAGGCGTGTGGGTCTCCTCTGGCTGCTCCTCCTGACACAGGAATAGTAAGACTTGAAGATAATATTTAAGACTACCTTCTGAGAGTGACTTCAGTAGTGCATATGTTACATAACATCACGCCTTTTATGCTCGAATGGATAGGTAGAGGTGCATGTGCACCTCTATATCTGTATATGGCACTTAATACCATTGTATAATGTAACTCCCACTTTTCACTATTTATTTTATGAATTCCATGTAATTAGGGGTGAGCCTATTGCCATATACCGGGCGCAATTCCAGACTGTGCTACTACTGAGAACTTTTTTAAGACTTTGACTGCCAATAAAAAGCTGTTATTATATTATTATACCCTTAACCGACGAGCATGCATGAAGACTGATGACTTGAGGAAGCGAAAGAGGTACGTAAAAATAGAGTGCAACTTTATGGCACGCTTGGACCCTCGATAACACAACTAAACACATCCCTTTGATTATTCCACGCCGGATCCTTTTGAGGGCGTGGTAACCCGTAACACTTCGGAAGAACTGCGTCCAAAGCATGGTTCTTTAGGAAATATTTACATTTACATCAGTGAATAAAACCTTGAAAACCACATACCTTCTTAGCCATAGCTCTCGTTTTAGTTCTGGTCACTCTCGAAGCTAACTCTTCAAACTGTTGGACCTTCTCTTTTACTGCAGACCTGTAGACAAATCAAGTCATACTTTAATTGGGTACCTACTTTCCTTAATCAAAAATGAATTACTTTACTTTTCAATACAATAAAATATTAAAACATAATCATACTTTCGTATTACTTACGTAGGTTGCATTTGTGGAGGTGGGTGTTTAGGTGGAGTGTGCATGTCTGTCGCGTCACTGTCGTCTGTTAGCAGGGAGTTGTCGTCTGTTATGTTCGTTTGTTTTGGATCTGAAAATAATTTAGATTTTGTTATTTTTATCATTACATTCAACGGCCTGTGATAATCTCCTGCTGAAATACAAGTTTATCTATACTATACATATAATAAAGTCGTCATCACAACATAACATCACGCTTTTTATCCCCGATGGGGTAGGCAGAGGTGTCCATTACGGCACTTGATTCCACAGTACAATGTAACACCCACTTTTCACTATTTATGTTATGAGTCCCATGTAATAGGGGGTGAGCATATTGCCGAATTCCAGACTCCGTGCTACTACTGAGATTTTTTGAAAAAGCCCAGAACAATTTTTCGGCCCGGGAATCGACCCCGAGACCCCGTGCCCGGCCGTCGCAATTGCGACCACTTAGCCAACGAGGCAGTCAGCAGAGCAATTTTTGTCTGTTTATCTGTTTGTATGTATGTCCAGAATGAACTCAAAAAATGCTGCATGGATTTATTTCAATTTTTGCATGAATATTACTAACGGGTCTGGTCAACATATAGGCTACAATTATCATGTTATCAACTACGGGGAAGGAGCTGTGAGTCACTATCCACGCGGACGAAGTAGCGGGCTCAGCTAGGTATTACATAAGAAGGGGAAAATATAAAGATTAATGATTATAACGCAATACAATTTAAGTTCAAGCATACATAACAACTTAAAGACAGTTGTAGCAGAGAAATCGTGAAATTCCATCGTAACCCAAACATACTTATCTAAAAAAAAATTAAATCAACTAAACATTAATTAGAAATATCAAATACCAGCGGATCGCTGTTGCAACATCATGCTTGTGCTGCAATTCTGACAAAATACTAAAAAAAGCTCCCATATCACAGTTTTTTTATATTAAAACTAGCGACCCGCCCCGGCTTCGCACGGGTGCAATATGTATATACATACAAACCTTCCTTAAGAATCACTCTATCTATTAAAAAAACCGCATCAAAATCCGTTGCGTAGTTTTAAAGATCTAAGCATAGATACGGACATACAGCGAAAGCGACTTTGTTTTATACTATGTATTGATGTTGCATGAGTGAGTCCCTTGACACCAAACTGTACTTTTACACAGTCGTGTAAAAGTATACATATGTAGTAAAATATAATTCCATTTAAACTAATGTTATGAATATGAAAATATGTTATAAGTTTAGTAGGGGAGCCCACGATGCTAAATTTGGATTTACTCGAGCGTCGTTGGGACCTACTGGATTTTTAAGATATGCTGATAGAAAGAAGAAATGGTTTAGTGACAATTTCTTACACCGGTGGCGGAAGGAGGAATCCACAGATCTTTGAAATTGTTAAGCGTAACTTTTGTTCTAGTGATCGAGCGTATCAGATATTGATAGTGTACATGCTCCATGTGTATTTAATAATAAAAAACTCTTAATCTGCCAGTTTGCATCGTGAGGTTGAATGATCTGGAGAGAACAAACGAGAACCCTTCAATATCCCCCCACTCTTGCAAATCTAGTTGTAATGGGCAGATTTTTTAAACACACTTCCTTTAGCATGGTATTGACCTACCTGCCCTTAATCTGACGAAACTGAATTTATTAAATCAGACTTTTTTTTTAATTTTCAGTCCCCCCCCTTCTAATCAGATCGGATATATGGTGGGTATATTCAACATGACACTAGGTTTTCCCCATATGTTAATCTGACGCGCTCGAGTAACTACTGAAATCCCTTCATGTGCTCCCCTACTATTAGTGAGACATACTAAATTATAACACACACCGGAGACTCGAGTAGCCAGTAGCAGGGCGACAGTCTGCGCGTCGCGGATCATGAATCTCTAGCATGGCTTGATACTAGTCTAGTTCCTCGTCAAATAATTACGTGAATAAGCCGAAAACATAATAATTAACATATAACAGTAGGTTGCGCGACGTCGCCGCGACCGCGCACGCTGCTCATGAGGAAGAACCCCTCTGTGGTTCGAAACTAGTAGAGCTTTTCTCAGAATATTCACGTGAGTAACCCGCGGTTTATAAAATATAACCTTAATAAAAACATAACCTTGTTTGTTTATTACTCCTTCACATACTTATGATCTGTTTACTAATCTAGTTAAAATAAATAACACTAAAATATAATGGTTACCTTTATCGATGACGACTGTGGCATCCATAACATGATTCTGTTTGTCTAGGACCATTGTTTCTCTATTCGCAGTCTCCAGTACTACTGTCTCATTCAAATTGCGCTGCAAATAGAAATAATATATGTAAATAAATAATAAACAATAATAAGTAAACAGTTAGTCAGAATAATAACATTTAATGTATTCAGGTTTCATTGATAGAGATGCAAATAGCTCGCTTAGAGTTTATTTTTAACAAAAAAATCTTCAATTCTATTTAATTTTGCGCCTGAGGCTTTGCTCGTGCGATAATAATGAATTATACGCCTAAATCTTACCTAGAACCACATTATTGGTTAAAAAATACAAAATTTTAATTCAAGAAAAAAGAATTCAATTCATACAGACTGACACTATTTTTGATAATAGTATGCCTGAAAATTGGCACAAAGACCACTTTTTATCCCAATAAAGCGAGTAGAACCATTGGAAAAAGCTAGTCTTCGTAATCTTATATCTTATACTATTATATAAAGCGGAAGAGTTTGTTTTTTTGTTTATTTGTTTGAACGCGCTAATCTCCGTAACTGCAAGTATGATGTGAATAATTCTTTTTGTGTTGGATAGCGCATTCATCGAGGATGGCTATAGGCTATAAAACATCACGCTACGACCAATAGGAGCTGAACAGAGCGTGTGAAACCGCGCGGAAGTAGCTAGTTAATATTATAAATGTGAAAGTTAGTGAGTTCGTGTGTATGTTCGTTACTCAACCACGTCAAAACGGGTGAAGGGATCGGAATGAAGTTAGACACAGGGGTAGATTATGGTCTAGCTAGAATAACACATAGGCTGCTTTTATCCTTTTTTATAGAATAGGAGGCAAACGAGCAGAAAGATCACCTGATGGTAAGCGATCAGTGCCGCCCATGGAGACACAGAACACTAGAGGAGTCATATGTGAATTGCCGGCCTTTTAAAATGGAATACGTTCTTTCCTTGAAGGTTTGAAGGTCGTATCGGTTCGGAAATACCGCCGACGACAGATTATTTCTACGGGAACGCGGGCAAAGCTGCTAGCAAAAGCCGGTAAAAAAAAAAACAATTATAATAGGTACTTACAACATTCTTGGGCGTAACAGGCGCGTGATTATAAACTCCGTTAGGTATAACCACAGTTTGGTCCATATCGCCGACTTTATCAATCACTCTAGTCTTATCCAGAGCGTCGATTTCATCTAAATTCAACCTTGTTAGCTCGACAATAGGCTCCTTTTTGCTTTTATTCTTAGACGCTTCTTTCTGTAAAATTGGCGATGTCGGTTGTGGCTGTGATATCCTTTCTTCCTTTGGTGTTATGTTCATTTCTGGGGTCGGTAAGGGCGGCGGAGTAATGTTTTGTTGTTTCTCGTCTGGTTTTTCACTGTAATTAAATAAAATTATGTTAAATTATGCTATGGTATAATTATCTTTTCATTTTGCTTCTCTATGGGATAAGCCGGTAAACGAGCAGTCCGATCACGTGATGGTAAGCAATCGGTGTCGCCTATGGCTAAAGGCACAGGGCCTCTAGCCAAACGCCACTTTAGCGCTTGTCTAAAGAGAGTTAGTAATCAAAGTATATGGGGATAACACCGACAAGTGTCAAAATTTACGTCAATTCCATATAATTTCGTTTTCTATTCTACATGTAGACAAGCGCTAAATGGCATTTGGCTACAGCTGCATCATGGCCTCTAGCCAAACGCCACTTTAGAGCTTGTCTACAGAGAGAGTAGAAATCAAAATGTATGGGGATAACACTGACAGTTGTCAAAATTTACGTCAATTCCATATAATTTGGTTTTCTATTCTACAAGTAGACAAGCGCTAAATGGCATTTGGCATTCATTCTACAGCTGCTGGAACGCTAGTGGCGTGAAAATCAGAGATCGATGTAGAGATATTGGCTTAAAATCGTCGCTGCCTCGTTGGCAGAGTGGTCGCAAGTGCGACTGCTGAACAAGGGGTCTCGGATTCTATAAATTGAGTAACCTTCCAGTATTCGGGCAATAGTCCATTAGCGGATTCTCACATATGATGATGAGGATATCTTTTCACTTTCACAGAATCACAAGAAATAAACAGCATATGCAATACGACACAAACCGGCGATTAACTGAGTATGCAGTATAAAACGCATCCAAGCACAATGCCTGGTCAGAGCTAGACTATTGTAGAATAAAGACAACAAATAGTTTTATATGAATTATGAATAAGTAAATAAAATAATGATCATTGTTAAGATGATTTCATAATGGCGTATGGAATGCCTTTGTAATATAGAAATATTATTTCTGCTTCGTTGGTTGTGCTACTGTCGGTTTAGTGGCATTAGGTTAGATTACTGGGTCGGGCAAAGTATAACTGGGTTTTTATTAATATAAATGACTAGCTTCTGCCCGCGACTTCGTACTCGCGATTTTGAGGATATTTTCTGTCATAAGAACTTTTTTCTGACAATAACAAACACAACAAAAAAAAATCAGCCAAATCGGTCTAGCCATTCTCAAGTTATGGCGTGACAACGGGAAACGGGTTTCATTTTTATATATACTATAGATAGACTAGCAGTACTCGCAACTTTATCTGCGTTTTATGAAATATAAGTAATTTATGTTACTCAGCCCATCAGCTACCTGCCAATGAAAGTCCCGTCAAAATCGGTAAAGCCATTGCAGAGATAACCAGTACAAATAGACAGACAGACTGACAAAAATTGTGATAGGTGTTATTTTGGTACAAGTATCGTATGCATGTAGTAAAAATCGGTTATTTCAAAATTACAAACAGACACTCCAATTTTATTTATCTGTATCGAAAACTGACTTACGCTGCTTTCGGTGCTCGCCTAGTTCTCTTCGGCCGCGGTTTTTCAGCAGGAGATGCTGAAAAGATACGTTTACTTAATAATGCGTTTCTGTCCTTGATTTACTAGCCACAATATATTAAGCTCTTTAGCTGGATCATCATCATCAACAGCCTTTAAATGGTCAGTGGTGACCAAAAGCCTGCTCTCGGACGGAGAAGGTTTGAGCATTCACTACAATGTTTGCTGAATGCGGTTTGCCAATTTTAAACTTATAATTAGGCCCAGGTTTCCTCACGATGTTTTCCTTCACCGTTTGTCAGTGGTGTCTAGGTAATCTTAGAAAGTACATATAACTAGGAAAACGTTACTTTAGTACTTGCCGTCGGTAGGTTTCGAACCCGCACTCTCATGCATGAGAAGCGGGCGTCTTAAACCTCCGGGCCACCATACCATTAAGACATTTTAGATGGATAAGGCAAGAAAATTTTGAGAATAAATCGACTTACCAGGAACACTTTCTTGTGATTCTGTAGCCTTCTCTGGTTCTGGAGCGACTTCTGATACTTTCTGTAATAAAATATAAGCTTTTCATCAAAATCAAGTAGATGATGCAGTTAAATATTTTTAATGTTTGAGGAGGTTGCAGTATATGTCTCAAGCCATGACATGACAACGTGAGCTCATTGCAGTACTCGGGAGGAGTCACCTGTCACTGTCGACTGGTACAAGCTATAGTCGACAGTGAGAGCCCATGGGGACGGAGTCGCTCCTTTCTGTGAACAAGTTATGTTGGCCAAGGAAGTCAAGTTCTCCCCCCCCTCCCACCACCATAGACGCGCCGATCGTCAGCGCCGTGAGGCAGCCACGGATCTGCGACCTTCATAGGAGACCTGTGGGCGGCAGCCAGACGTCTGCTGTATATGCGGTAGCGTAGTATTCCACAAGCGCTACTCGAGGAAGAGAAACAGTCTCCCACGGCCGCTAACGTGGCGCGGCCGGCCGCAAACATAGCGGTACGTGGAGTCGGCCGGGTGTAGTGATGCCGTCAGGACATCCCGGGCCACGGACATGCTGCCACCCTGTTTTTTTTTTTTTTTGCTTTTTTATGTTTTTTGCCTTCATTGTTGTTTTATTTTTTACTGCTATTTTTTGTATGTTATTATTGTTTTGTTCTTATTGTTTTTTATTTTATTTAATTTTTTTTTTGTTTTTCAATGTTATTTTGTTATTTATTATTTTGTGTGTTATTCGGTGGTCCATGTCGGTGGCGAATAAATTATTTTTCTTTCTTTCTTTCTTTCAGTGGAGGAACACCGCGATGGGTTTAAGCGGTAAGAGTCCAGCACGACCCCCCACGTGGGAAGTCCATGAGGATTGCCATCGTGATAGATAAAGTATATTTAAGTGTGGGAGAGCCATGTTTCGACACGCATGGGCCGGCCCGACCGGAGTGATACCACGGCCTCACAGAAAACCGACGTGAAGCAACGCTTGCGTTGTGTTTCGTCGCGTGAGTGAGGTTACCGGAGGCCCAATTACGCCCCCCCCCGGGCCCCCCCCGTCCCCAGTCTCCCCAATTTCCGAATCCTCTACAATCCTAAAATTCCCAATTCCCAAAAGGCCGGTAACGCCTTGGTGTTCCAGGTGTCCATGGGCGACGCCGATTGCTTACCGTTAGGTGATCCGTTTGCTCGTTAACCGGCTTATGCCATAAAAAAATAAATAATAATAAAATTAAAAAGCCTTGACAGGACTCGTCAAATATATCGTACTAACGGTCGAACACTGAAAGGCTCACTTTTAAGATTGCATTCCCGAATTGTAAGAAAATTACCTTTTTAGCCCTGGTACGTTTGGGTCGTGTCTCAGTGGGTGGAGGCGCGGGGTCCTCGGTCTCTGTGGGACGCGCCGACCGGGAACTGGCGCGAGTGGACCGCGCTGACGCCACTAGACATGTAATACAAACATCTGTCATTTATTTCTAAATTATGAACATCCATTAAAGATAAGTATGTATTAAAAAGGTTGATGAATTAAACGAAGTATAGTGTAAAATGTCCTTTTATGATCTAATAGTTGAACCCACAGTTTCGTCAGCATTTTTCTAAATTAGGTAAAAGTAGCCTATGTAACTCCTTAGTACATTAGCTATCTGCCAATAAAAGTCCCGTCTAAATCGGTCCAGCCATTACAGAGATTAGCCAGTACAAACAGACAGACAATTTTTTTTTTTAAAGTGTTATTTTGGTACATGTATCGTATGTATATTCATATGCATGTAGTAAAAAGTGATTATTTTAATATTACAATCAGACACTCCAATTTTATTTATCTGTATAGATTATCTCCATTTCCCCAGTTGACGCCGATCTGCGACAACTATCTCTGAAGACTTGCTTATAATAAACGAAATAATATAGCTCGTTTGTTACAGGGATCGAATTTGTGAGACGTGTTCTACAGTTAAACTAGCGAACACTGTAACAATGAATTAAGTGATACAAATAATGTGTTGGATACTCACCAGGTGGCGCCACATTATCATTCTGTTTCCTGGTCCGTGTAGTTCTTCGTTTCCCTGAACCCTCCTCCTCACTGCTCTCCTCCGGTTTATCTTTTGGTACCGCTTTACGTGGTTCTGTACAACAAATCATTATGATAACTTTTTTAATGCTAAAGAACATAGGAATTAAAAGAGGTCCGCTACTAATGTTGTTGAAAGTTACTAATATTATGAATGTCAAAATGTCTTTGTTTGGTTGTTTGTCTGTCAATCACATTGAATTTACTGAACGGGTTTTGATGAAATTTGGGATACAGGCAGGGTATGCTAACTTAGGTGATTATTTTTAAGGGGGAAAATTATCGAATGGCTTCACCCGCCTGGGCGAAGCGCGAGGGAGAGTCAGACTCTTACTGTCTAAAAACCACCCCGTTCCTATTCCTGCAGTTCGTGCCGAAGCCTCGACAACCCGTTAAGTCCTCCGCGGCTCCGTATCGGTATTAGCCCTACTGAGCCCCATTCGTGGTGGTCTGAGGGCTCTTTGAGGCGCGCGCGGAACGCTCGGCGCCATACGCTCGGGTCTGGTTCTGGTCAGGCGGCGAGCTACCCATGTTCGCCGTCCGCAGGCCCGATAGGATACTTTTTTATTCCGATTAAATGCTCCCATCGAATAAAACAAGAATCATAATATGCGGACGAAGTCGCGGGTAATAGCTAGTAACAGGTAGTAAGTAAATAAAATGTTTGAATTTGAATGTTTGAGAATTCTAGACTAGAGAATTACGTCTCGCTTAGCTCGTATGTAGAGGTCCCTCATTCTTGCCCTAGATAAGTTGCGAAACTGAGCTAATGAGTGATGAATTGCAAATACACATAGGACTATGTGTATTTGCAATCTTGCCAGTGATTGTCACAAACAAATCTCGGTAAATATTTTTTCTCAATAATTAATTATGTAACTATTTAATGTATTGTACTTACTGGGCACGGGTGCGACTGGCGGCGGCATGGCAATTTCATCCTTATTCGGTTCCTGTTTGATTGGAATATCGACTGGCAAAGCGTCTGTGTCCATTGGCTCCGGTGGCAGGGAGACCTTCTCTTGTTTTACTGTTGAACAAATAAATACATTAGTACATGGAAGTAGCTTTTCTGAGAGCCTATTTGACCACCATCTCGTAAATACCCGATAATCTTATGTTGAGATTCGTCCGCTTGCAAAGCTAGATGCTAAACGTGACGAAATAAAAGCCCGACCACCAGCGGCAATTCACTATAACTATGTTTATGTTGTTCTCACGTGTCCACTCTGTGGAAGAATATTTACAAACAAAGGTGGATTTTCCAGCCACTCGAGAACCCATAGACGGCAGTAGTCATGAAACGGCCGTGTCTCCGATAGGGACAGGCAGACGGCGGATAGTGACTTTGTTTTATACTATGTAGTGAAATGTAAAGGTTTAAACGATACTTACTTTGTATGTTAAGTGGAGGTTCATGGTTTTCTTTATCATCGTCCTTGCGTCGGCGCCCGCGCGACGCCTTCTCTGTGTCCTCACGACGGAGCTTCTGGGATAGGTTCACATTCACCTACAAATTAAACGTAGATATTAAAAAGTTACTTTGATTGAAGCATTTCTTGTAAAGTAACTAAATCATGTTATAGTTGAAAATGAAAGACATTTGAGAACCCAACCCAAAAGTTTATATTGTAAATTGTTGTATTATGCAAAACATGAAATGCCACAAAGTTAATAAATATGGCAATAGACTCACCCCCTATTACATGAGACTTATAATACAAATAGTGAAAAGTGAGTGCTACATTGTACAGTGCCATCAAGTGTATCAATCAATCAATCTGCACCTTTTGTCTACCATTTCGGGGAAAAAAGGCGTGATGATATTTAACTATAGCAATATTAGAAAGATCACAACTATTTATGTTACTACCAATAACGATTCCAACACAGAACAATGAGAAATCTTGTAGGTTACACATATGTCTCACAGGTATTAAATTACCTACAACAATATGGTTGAGTTCTTTAGCCGAATACATTATGATTCTCAGGAATTCTCTTGACTTGCACACACTATAAACTTAAGAGGTCAATTGACACTGGAAGATAAAGAAACACATCTCCATAATCACCTGTTTGCTAATAATACTCTGTGCTTTAACTGAAGCATTTCTCTTCTGTCGTTTATCCTGTTCCGGACTGGACATGTCATCCACTTCATGTTTGCTGCGTTTCTTGGAAGCTCGTCGTGGTCTGTCCGAGTTACTTTCTGTGGAACTGCGACCAGTTGTGAGGTCCGTCGTCGATTTGTTGCTGGATCTACGTTTACTGTTATCTGTTTCCGATGATTTTGATGTTTCATCTAAGGAAAGGATTTGGTGATTACTAATTGATTGTATTATAAAATGACTTTAGTTGAAATTAAAATGATTAACTGAATACCATACACAAAGAGACCAGAGACTTGGTGGCCTAGAGGTTTAAGACTCCTGCTTCTCTTAATGTGTGAATGTAGTATTTGAATGTACTAGACATAGTGAACATTCATTTTATATTTCAACACTTCTAACATAAATTTTCGCTTCGGTGATCGAGTGGTATATGTCGTGGTGATCCGCAGGTTTAAGACGCCCGCTTCTCATGCATGAGGGTGCGGGTTGGAAACCCACCAACAGCAAGTACGAATGTGACCTCTTCCGACTAATAAGTACTTTCTAAGATTATTTAGACACCACTGACAAACATTAAGGGATAACATCGTGAGGAAAACGGGACTTATAATTTCTAATTATAAGTTGTAATTGTCAACCCGTAATGAGCAAGTGTGTGAGGTGATTAATGCTCAAGCTTTCTCTGTGTGAGAAGAGGCCTTCGGGCAGCAGTGGCCACTTAAAGGCTATTGATGATGATGATGTTGATACACAAACACTAATAACAACTATTGGATATAATGGTGCTGTGTAGTACTTCTAGTTTCTATCTATTTATTGTGTATCAAAATCAAGTTTGTAAATCGGTTTACTGAAATTTTCTTTACTGAATATTTTTCTTACTGTTTGATTAATTTCTTTAAACTTACATTGCAATCTAGTTAGAGTAAAAATCTCATTAATACCCATATAATAATATATGTTTACAGTATTTCTTTTTATTGGTTAGAAAAGTTTAGAAGTATGATAAACATTTAGAAAATCTTATTAAACCTTTTTTGAGGTTTTAATATCTATGGTAAAAACCACAAGATTGGTTTAAGTTAAATTACCTAGTACTAGAGATATTAAAATAAGGTAAATTTAAGATTTTACAACACCTATGGTTATGTAGCTGGCTGAACATATAAAATTAAGAAGAAGCGTTAAAATCAGTTATTTTGCCATTGGAAACTATGTTGCAATTAAATTACATGGCATAGAACTGTTCAGAAACAATTTATGGGATAACATAAATATGTGACCTAAATCTAATAAGTAGAAAGCTAACAGTAGTTCAGGATCACTTTTTACATGTTATTTGATGTTACAAAAAGCGTCTTAGTAACAAAAAATGGAAATAGTTCAAGCGTAGAGAACTTTTATGGGTTGTAAACAGGTCCAGACCTAAAGTATAGTTGTTCAGCCATTATGACCTTACAAACTAGATAAATCAGTGGTAATGAGATAATGGAGCGTTACCTTCATCCTCGTGGATACTCTGAAGGGTTGTCATAGGGTTTTTATCCTTTGTAGCTTTCTCCCGCGCCTTTCCTCGTCCATTTTGAAACTCTTCCTCAAACTTATCAAAACAATCGAACACGGCCTGCAAACCACAACAAAAATAACTTCCACATACAGCTAACCACTAAAAGATATTAACAACACACTTTTTATCTAATTTAAACCAATAAAAACGCAAATGAAATCGTTACAGAGGGTAACAGATTGACCGCACTATCAACACAACTTTTTCACAAACACACGTTTTACCTTGAGGTCATCGTTGAAGTTTTTAGTAAAAGCATTTGATATTTCATTGATTTTCGGCAATAACTCATTAAAAATAGACATAACTGTGGTAGAAACTACACTTTTTCAAAAGTTTCGTCAATTTGACAAACGCCATAAAACACTACACGATCGAAAACGGTTTGAAATTGAAAAGACGGTTGGCCAACATTCCGGCATCATAAATTCAACAGCCGTTGGGATGCGTTCCATTACTTTACGTTCGGATACGCTAGTACAAATCGTTTTGTAATTTATTTTTTTCGATATTCTTAAAGTTGTTTCTTTTTTGTTTATTTATATTTTTACTGGCAAAAGTTAAAATCATTTATCAATGTAAAAATTAAGGGTTGTATTTAGAGTTAATAATAGATTCTAAAATAATCACACATTTATTATTTGTAATGATTTAATACATAATTTTCTTTTTTTTAACAGATTAAAACTGCCTGACCCTTTTTTTTTTTTTTTTTTTAAGGGGGGAAAATCATCGAATGACTGCCCCCGCCTGGGTGAGGCGGGAGGGAGTGTCAGACTCTTACTGACTAAAAACCACCCCGTTCCTTCTCCTGCACGTCGAGCCGGGGCCCCGGTTACCCGTTAGGTTCTCCGCGACAACTGCCTGACCCTAAGGTTAAGGTAGATAGGTAGGTATTAAATATCTGTTTAGTGCTCTAATTCCTTTTTATGCTACTGCTGAGAAATGATCCCGACCTAGGAATCGAATCCAACGCCTTTTGCTTTGCCACTGTCTCACTTGCAAACTTGAATGGTTGCAAGTGGGACGGCCGAGTGAGGGCTTACAAAATTAGTACCTTACAACAACCTACCTTCCTAATGGTGTAGGTACCCATTCTGTATTCAAACTACCCTAGATAAGTAAGTACGTATAGATATGTATAGCACTGTTCTCAATATAACAGCGCCTTTTATGAGGTAATAAAAGTTTATGAAAATTTTATTAGCGCTCTTGAATCGCTTTTAACGTTAAAAAAATACCATTTTCAACAGCTAACGAGGCACTGAATACATAACAGCTAGGTACAATGTTGACAAACCTTAGTTACGGTCGGATAGTAGTGAATTTTCCGAACAGATTTTATTACTTGTATCGTGTTGTTTGTGACTTACAATATTTAGTGTTAAGATGTATCGTCACATTAATTTAACACATTAATAGTTCATTAGTACTTCCTTCTTTTTGGGAAGTCAGTTAAAAATACACTGCCATTATCTGAAAAACTTTCTTGTTGTACATACATACTTACTGTTTTTTTTTCAATCCATAATAAAGGCTCATTTAGAATAACTATTACAATATAACCAAATCAAAACCCAACCCATCCAACAGACTTTTGTGGAGAAAAACAATTCATTCCCATATTTCCTTCAAAAAACTTTGATCCCAAAGATTGTCTTTGGTAAACAAACAGACATTTCGTAAATGTAGACAAATATCCGAACGTGTTCAAAGGGAAAAATCAAAATGGAGCGAGCGTTTAGTAAATTGCTTGTGACGTCATAGGAGCAATCACGAACGCGGCAGTAAGAAAATATAATGCGACAAAGTTCCAAAAAGTGTATGATAAAGTGAAGGATTTTTTTTTTAAGGGGGGAAAATCATCGAATGACTGCTCCCGCCTGGGTGAGGCGGGAGGGAGTGTCAGACTCTTACTGACTAAAAACCACCCCGTTCCTTCTCCTGCACGTCGAGCCGGAGCCCCGGTTACCCGTTAGGTTCTCCGCGACTCCGAATCGGCATCGGCCCTATTGGGCCCCATCTGTGGTGGTCTGATGGCTCTTTGAGGCGCGCGCGGAACGCGACGCGCCGCACGCTCGGGTCTGTTTCTGGTCGGACGGGGAGCCACCCATGCTCGCCGTCCGCAGGCCCGCGCTTACGGTGGCCGGAGATCGTCCCGCGATCCCCGACGCCCGGTGTGTCCTTCGCGATGGCTGGGTTGCGAGGAGGCAGCGCTTCGCTGCCTCACGCGTCCCGCCTCCTCCTTAGCTAGCATGACTGCTTCGCAAAAGGAGGAGACGGCATCCCAGTCCCCCTCGCTCCGCATCATGGCCTGCACTAGGCCCGGACGCGAGAGGAAAGTGAAGGATAGAACTATGTTGCCGTAAGAAAATGTCCCAGCAGGGTAAAAAGGGGTTAAATTTGTAATTTTATAAGAGCAAGTCTTCTCTTGTATTATAATGTTAATTTTTTTTATGTATAAACACAGCAAAATAAATTATTATTTTGTTTCAAATACGGCATAGCTGTATTGGTAGCATTGATGAGCATTGTAATTTGTAATTAGAGTTAGGCACCGATTCAAATTCAGTCATTATCGAATCACCTAATTTTGTCCAAACATAGAATATAAATTAGGCGAGTAGATATTTACTTAAATAATAATTAATTATCGTTAGCACGAACACGTATTTCGTTCGTTAAGTTATCCAAATTGGTTCTCGTTACCGATTTAATATTCCACTACCGATATACCGATACATCGGAACTGTCAGTCTAATTAATCGATTGATTGCTTACCTGGATTTTAATTGCATGCCCCGATTTGTATTTAACACGGTTAGTGATAATTTTCCTGTAAGTAATTTGATGATGTCAGTGAATTTCTGGCTCTGCGAATTTTTTTTGCCCTTCCAGCTACGTACCACGGAGAACAAACTAAAAGAGCGCGGTTATCTTGTTTGAGTATCATGTGCAACAAAAATAATGATCTTGCCTTTAATGTGTAGGAGAGAATTTATTAAAGGAATTATTTCATAAAACTTTATATAGTACTTATACCAAAACTTTTTATTTTATTTTGGTAAATATTTTTAAAAAGTTTCGTCCGTATTTTTTTCACGGGATTCGGGGATTCGACGGGATGCTCAGTTTGATGAACCCCTCAGCCCCTCTATTACTGGCTGTTTGAGCCGAGCCATGTATTTCTATTTCAGTATTCATAATTCGAAATCCGAACACATGGAGGCGCCATGTTGGTTTGGAATACATTGTCATAATTTCATTGCCAACTGCAAGCGATCTGAATACGCAAGCCGTGGATACCTTTTAGGTTCTACATGAAAATGATCCTCATTAGTGTGTCTCCTGGGTTTTCCGAGAGATATAAATACTTACTTCCTAAAAATACGAGAGATATAAATACTCTGAGATATAAATACAAGTCTCCATATTTTTGTCCATGGGCGGCGCTGATCACTTACCATCAGGTGATCCGTCTGCTCTTTTGCCTACTATTCCATAAAAAAAAATTAAGAAAATATCATAGAGTGCTATTTAATATTTGACTCAATGACCTTAGACGACAATAAAATATGGCACGGAAACAATTTTTGCGTTTCACTAATGGCAAAGGACTTAACTAAACTAAGTTGGATTGATAAAAATACGTAAGGTTTTTATACGACAGCAAATGAAATGCACCGTTTAAAAAATGTAAATCTCCAACTATAGATAAACAACACAATTTGTCTAGAAAAATATCGAAGCTCAAAAAACATTGTCTTGTAAGTTGTAGATACGAACACTACGACCAGGCGAATTGCGAAGGAACAATATTTATGATGGGTGTTCATTTTGGAAAAACCTCACAATAAATTGCTGTATTATTCATCCTTATCTATGCTAATAAATCAATACCGTACCCTATATCTTGGTCACGCTTTATATCTCAATAAGTAAATTGGCGTCCATACATTTTGTGTTGAGGAAAAATTCTTCCAATCACTTAAGTTGGCCGGTGCCTGACCAATTTCGGTTAGCATAGAGTAGCGTAGTGTACGCATTTTGCTTGTTCTACGTTCTTTGAACTTTATACTTAGTACTGGAAGTGTTACGCGAAGTATTTATTTATATTATAATTTTTATGAACTATCATTTTAAACAGCGTGCTAGCTATGCTATTATTGACAATTTCGGAAAAATCTGATGCCTCCTTGTGTCACCTGTGTTTTAATTTTTGTCGTCTAATTTGGGTGTGTTTACAAAAATAAACATACTTGTATATTAGACCCTGAAAAAACACTTTTCGACACACCGACTAATATTTGCGAACATCGAACCCGTGACATATTAAGCGGTAGTCTCATAGTCACACTATGAGCTACTTACAACAAACAAACGTGTCTATTTACTGTGAAGTCATTAAAACATTGATTCATTCGTCTGCATTAAGAAATTACATTAAAAAAATACAGTCACTTCCATGGTTCCTACATCTTTGTATCTCGTATAAGTTTGGCGATGTTCCGGGGTGACTGTGTGAGTCGTCGACAGTCGCGCCACCGTGTCGCCGTGCCGCCATTTTCATAAATAAAACTTTTAATGATCGGTAAAATCGGTCCATCGCTGTCCTATGAGCTTTAGATACCTATTAGTTTTATTTCAATAACTATTCGAGAGTTGCCAGTTAGGAAAAGATTTTCTCTTTGAATTTGTTCTGGTTAATTAGTCAATGTGAGTTTTGTACTTGTTTTGTATGTATTTAGATTTAATGGTTCGATGCATTTATTTTTAATAAGTTACCCTAATTATATAGCCATAGGTAATGGTAAAGCCCGGTAATGGAGTTTAATTTCAGTAGATAGACCATGGGGCTTACTCTTGAATCCAATCCGGATCGATCGGCATTGGTATTGTGAAATTTCGTACTTTTGAGTTGCAACACTAGCGACCATTACTATATTTAATGAACCAAATAGTATTGAGTTTGGCTTTGTATTCCGTACTCTGAATGCTATTATAACAGCTTCGATAGGGGTTGTATAATTTTGACATTGAATAATTATTGACATTGTATTAGATTGAAATTACATTGACATTGAGACTGGTTTCTAGAGTAAGCACCCTGTACAGGCGCAAAGTTCACTTTTCGCCAGTATATGTTACTAGCTTTTACCCGCGGCTTCGCTCGCGTCACAAAATGATAAAAAGCCAATGTGACATAAATATACCATACACACAACGCCGTCTATACCACTGCTTTTGTTTTCCCTCGGGAATATCAAATTTTTCCGGGATAAAAAATACCCTATTATTTGACCCAGACTTCTAACTTTACTTCTGCAAAAATTCAAAGCAATCGGTTTAGTAGTTACGGCGTGAAAACGGAACAAACAAACTCACTTTCAGA